TGTTGACTTTTAACCATTGTAAACCACCTCAAGCCAGCTACTAGAAGAAATCAGTCAGTGCATCATTGTCACAATTATAGGTCCTTCATCACACGGGGTGTATGGGGGTGTATTTGATATCCCCCTTAGTTCAAAAAACTGAACACTTTACTCGTTAGGTGAGTGCAATTGTTTCTTATAAGGAATAACTGAATAATTTCCATCATTTGCAATGGAGCCAAAGATTCATTATTTTTTGGCTTGAGATTATGATGGAATAAAGCAAAATGGCTCAGTAAACTGTCTGCGCTTCTTTGTAATGAAGCAGCAGTCAGTCCATGCAATCTTGGACGCGATTTTCACTATGGGTCATCCGGAAACAGTCTCTCTGTGCTTTAGTATAGGGGTAAGACTGCGTACATCCGACCCCCCCTTACCCCACCGTTGGTGGGAGCCTTTGCGGCACTGGGGTAAATGAAAATGAATGTAAATGAAAATGAAGGAATAACTGAATAATAATTCCTCCAGTCTGTGGAAAAGGAATTACAGATCCTCCAATCGATTTTAAATTCTGAGGTTTTGCAATTCCTCCAGGCTCCAGCCCACTTTTTGTCTATCAGACTGTCATATTACTATATCAGCTTTCAACTCCATTGTATACCAAATAATAGAATTAACTCCCGTCAAATTTGTTTTATCTCGTCCTACCAAACAAGAAAATCTGAATTCCTTCTGTATTCTTCATTTCCCACATAAGCTAAGTTTCATTCTCTCACTATTCCTTCCTAAGTGCCAAACGAGCTATTAAAGAATATCACCTTTGAAGCTTGAGCAAAAAGGGGTATAAAGGTGTAACCTTTAATGCATATTTCGATTTTAAATCAACAACAACATCCAAGCCATAATCCCAAAAGAGTTTAGGGATTTCAATTTTAAATCAAACCTCATAATTATTTAAGCTACCAAAAATTTCTCACTTTCCACACAATTATTTGATTGTTTCGCTTTTCAGTGGCTGTCATAGCTTCAGCCATACTATTTCCAGAGCTATTTATCTATTCAGACATATGAAACAGAAGACCATTTCTGTCCAACTTTGCATACCCAATATAAAAAGAATAACCAAACAATATGAAAAAAGTTGATAAATTGATAAAACAGACCTCTACGATAACCTGCTCGGCTTGGAGCAAGAACTTTTTAATTCCTTGCCATACAGACCTCGAAATTGGCTGCGAAGCACAAGTAAGATTCAAACGAAAAGAATTAAAAAAAATGTACAAAGAAAATTAACAATGTTACCCAGGGCGTCAATAATACAAATGCAATTGAAGAAATAATGGAAACTTAAAATACTTCAACTTTGGTCCATTCAAGAGCGTCCCAGCTACCAGCACCCTCAATCTTCTCCGACTCCATAGTGGCTGAGTCATGGTAAGAGGCGGATCGTGCCGACCTACTTCTGTACATGCCGGACTAACAAGGTTAGTTCCTGAAAAAATCGCTCACGGCCTCTTTCTCTCTCAATTTCACCAGAAATTTGAAGAAATGTGGCTCGAAAATATTTTCACAGGACCCATATTCCCTCTTTTTTTTATACTCGACTTTTGATGTTTTCCGTAGCATAAAGAAAGGGCATTATGAGTCTCAGTTCAAGTCATATTTTATCGGGTCTTGCCGTATGTTTGGTATTTTTGGAGTCAAAATCAGGGACACCGGCATTTGAGAAGTAATCGAGAGAGTTGAGATACATTTGAGAGTTTATTAGGAGCATTGGAGGTCAATGAGATGTCAAAGACGAAGTTTTGAAGACAAAAGAGTTCTAGGATTTGCTACTGAATCAAAAGAACTTGAAAACGGCGATTGGGATGACGTTCTGTCAATCGTTCAAGCATAGCTTTTTGTAGAAACATCCAAAGTACATGATTCAAGTTCCATATGAAATCTAACTTCAACAGATAAACATAATATGAAGACACCATGACGAGAATCTGAGAGGAGCAATGTGAAAACAGATGAGGAAGTCAGATAATCGTTGTTGATATTTCAAGATGCGACCTTCCACCATTTTATTCATATCATTTTATTGAATGATCCAGATCTAGTTTTTTAAGTTTTGATGGATAGAAGACTTCATTAGATACAACTTTCATGAAGGAAGCATAGTCAAATTCGGACGGGAAGGGCGCACTCCGTGCGCCCAAAGTTGGGCACGCCGTGCCCGCTGAAGGAAACAACTCTAGAGCTACTGCCAGTCGGGCACGCCGTGCGTGCCAAGGGAGGCACGCCGTGTCCGACCCTTTTCCGCCCCCAGGTAACCTATTTCGGCCCGGATTGATCCGTTTTCCCTATTTAAAGCCCCTAAACTCCCGTTTTGAGAGGGGAGAGTTTAGAGAGAGGTCTAGGGATGACTTTATATGAAGGGGTTGATGACGGGGTTGATTATGATGTATGGTTAGTTTCTTGATGGCTTAATTGTATGAATCTTGATTTAATTTGTATTTGAATGATTCAATTAATATCTCTTGTAACCTAGAACTGGAGCTAGGATTATAATTGCTTGTAGAATAAATTAAGAGAGATCCAATTTATTCTATGACACCTTCACACACACTTAATCATTTGCTAAGAGATTAGTAACGATTAAGGGTCCGTACGCTCTCTCGTCTTGGCAATAACTTAGATACCTGTCAATGAGAGAATGATATTTGAGCATTCCTAAGTGATCAATTAGTTGATGTTTGCTTATTGATTATTACTAGAATCGTTCAATGAATACATTTGTTATTGGTAGTAACCTTAGATTATTAATTCATGTGTCAGATGATAAATGGATGAACTAGATAGAATAGTTGAACTTGAGATTCTCGTTGTGACCGTCGAGAATATTCACCTTGAGTTACAAGTTATCGTTCTTAACTGATTTCATTGAATTGATTGAATGCTACTATTTATACCAATATATGATGTTTGTTCTATATTGACTAATAGTAAGGGTTATTAATTAACATGTCTCATTATTAATAACTACTATGGATGAATTGGACGATTTAGTCTTCACGATTAAGTATTCAAGAGGGAAGAACTAAAAGTAGTAACCATGATCCACAAGCACTTCACTAAGAGGAAAATAACAAAACTAGAGTTGATTACCTTTAATATTTCAATTCATTCATCTTTTTTGTTTTATTTGCTTTATCAATTATCAAAATAGCCGAACCCCCTCATTTACTCTGAAGTATTACAACACGCGAATAGCTTATTTTCCTATTGATACGAACTCTACTACGTTATACTACTATATTAGCTTTTAGTAGTGAATTTATTTTGAGCCACAAGCAACTTGAGTGTTGTCAGTTAGATACCCCATCCACAGAATGTGTATCGAAAGAATTTATTTTTTTAAATAATGACCAATATATATGTGTACGTACGTACGTAAGTACTACCTCCGTCCCGCTAGAAGGTTCCCATAGCAAAACGGCACGGTTATTTAGGCAATAATTAAATAAAGTACTTTGAGTATATTTTGAGAAATAATTTTAATAGATATATATTAGAATGTAGTTAGTATTGATAATTGTGATGTTATAAATGTATTATTTTTAATAATTAATGATTAATTTGTCACTTAAGATTGTTAATTGTTTCCTAAAATAGAAATGAGAACCTTCTAACGGGACGTCCAAAAAAGGAAAGTGAGAACTTTCTAATGAGACGGAGGGAGTATGAATGAATGTTTAATTTTTATTAATTGAAAATTTGTAAACTTGTCGAGTCTTTAATAGGTCGAAGTAGTATGTATTATACTCGACTCACTTATCAAAATAAATAACGGGTTCAAGTTTCTGTCTGATAAATTGAATTAAATTAAATGTGGACCCGTGTCAGGGGCAAAGCCAAGGCATAGACCGGTACAAATTTTACCTTAAAAATTAAGACAATTTTTTAATTTGGACTTTGGTTGGACTGGGCTGAGGTTGACCCCCTAGATCAACCCATTAACCGGCCTATCTCTATATCAACGTTTTGAGTTTATAATATGATGGTGCTTCAAAATAATTCTTAATAATTAAAATTTATGTGTTGAAAAATCATTTTGTTTGCCAAAAAAAAACATGTTAACAATTTTATTAAGCTTTGAAAAATTGAATACAAATGTCATTCAAATAGGAACCTGTATATATTAAGCTTTGAAGTAGAAAGTAATTAACAAAAATCTAGGAAGTAGGAAATTTTATATATTAAGCTTTGAAAAGTTTTAGGGAAAAGGGTCAAATAGGTCCTCGAACTTACATAAAAAGGTCAAATAAGACCTTATATAGGAGGCTCTGTGTAACACCGCCCCCGAGTATTTGTATTGTACCAAATTATGTACTGAACCTTGAGAAATGTATAAAAGCATTTTTACGTGATTGTAAATTTTTATCATTTCTATTGCGTGAATAGTAGAATTCACGTGGGGCCCACACCGGAGGTGGGGCCGCTCGATATTATCGGGACCACATATTATATTAATCTTGGACTGGATAATATGAATGTGGTGGTGGATATCCTAATTGGGCCATGGAAATGGCATATAGTTGACCGGTTGGTCAAACGGGGCCAAATTATCGGTGTCGGAAATTATCAGATAACAGCCCAAAAAGGGATTTCGGAGACTTCTAAATTAAAGTTGGGGAATCATATTGATTCTAAGGTCCAATGAGGATTGGGAACAAGTGTTATATTTTATTTGACCCGATAAGATAAAATATACTTAAAACTGTCCGGTAAATACAACTTTCGGGACCGATTGTACACTCGGGTACACAAAGGGTTGACCTCCCACATGAGTGGGGGCCAACCCACGTCCTTGGTCTGGAAAATAGCAAGGGGAGCCGCATCATGGAGCTGAGAATTGGTTGGGGAAGTGATTGGGAGACCAATCAATATGAGGGTGGGACCTTTGCCATATGATTTGGTGAGAAACGCCAAAATGGCATCCTCAATCACCCCTCACCCCATATGCTCGGTTCAATCATCCAAGGAAGGGAGAGAAACTCTGAAAATACTCCATTTCCTCATCCTTTCACGCACCAAGAACAAAGGAGGAAGAAGGAGGGGAAAAGAGAAGAGAAAAGGTTGTTTTGGAGAGGAAAACTTGTGTTTAGCAAGGTAAGGACTCCATTAGCCCCATTTCGTTTTCTTTAATCATATTATATGATTATTCAATCATATTTCACACCCTAGGATTGTTCTACACGTTGGGATGTGTAGGAAGAGGGGTTGGAAGGTGGTTCTAAGTCCAAGAACGGACTTAGAAGCCAAAGGACCGGTTCGCCGAAAAATAACCTTTTGAAGGTTATTTATATTACTATGGGTTTTATGATGATAAAACCTTGTTAGTAACTTGTCTAAGGTATTCAAGGAACTTTCACGGAGTTGAAAAGGTCACCGGAGTTGTCGCCGGAGTTCGTCGAAGTTCGCCGGAGTTTCGCCGGAGCTAAATCGGGAAGGCTAGAACCTCATAAGCTTCATTAAGGTGAGAAGACGGCTTTATGCTTTATAACTTTTGTGTTAGGCATGAGACTACCTAAAGTAATCAAGAATATGTTTTGTGGAATGATTAAAAATAATCAAGTATTTGCTTATGCCATGATTTTGCATAAAACATAGTTGAAAAGCAGGTTATGTAGGTTTGGTGATTAAAAATGTGATAAAATATTTTGTGTGATGATACAGGGGTCCAAAATGGTATTTTTGGATCGAGGACATCAAGAAGTATATGTGTATAAAATTTCAAGTTAATCGGACTCCGTTTGGGTGGTCAAAAGGGGCGTTGACCGCCAAGTCAACTGCCATACCCGATCGGGTATTGACACATACCCGACCGGGTATTTGCTGAAAAACTTCCCAGGGGGCTACTGTCTCCTATACCTGATCGAGTATGGGTAGATACTCGATCGAGTATACATTGAAAATTAGCTTTGGGGGCTATCGCCTCCTGTACTCGACCGAGTATGGGTAGATACTCGATCGAGTATTGGTTTACGCTCAAAGCGGGCAGTTTTGAGCGGGTTAATGTGGGCCGTTCAGGTGGGACCCGTCCACGTTGGTTCCTAAGGATGGTTATATGACTATAGGGCTAGGTATTGTCCATAGTTGAAGGAACGAAAGGTTAGCCATATCCAGGTTAGGGTTTGGTAAGGATTTAGTTTGGGGTTGAGTATCCCCGGGACATTAGATGATCCTGAAACTCGGTTGGGGTTGAGCATCCCCGGGACTATAAATGATCCTGAAACTCGGTTGGGGTTGAGCATCCCCGGGACATTAAATGATTCTGAAACTCGGTTGGGGTTGAGCATCCCCGGGACTATACATGATCCTGAAACTCGGTTGGGGTTGAGCATCCCCGGGACTGCAAATGATCCTGAAACTCGGTTGGGGTTGAGCATCCCCGGAACATTTAATGATCCTGAAACTCGGTTGGGGTTGAGTATCCCTGAGATGCTAAGTGCTCCCAAAACTCGGTAGGATATTATAAATGTAGAATGTAGCTGGCGAGCTAGGCATTCGGGAAAAGGGTGAGAAAGGTCAGGTAAGAACTTTATCTCTAAAAGACTCTTTGAATGAAATGACCCACGGGTCGAGTATTTTACATATATATACAGTATGTATCATCGGATGAACGAGTCACATATATATATGTATCACCCTATTTTTTTGGTCTCGTGTCTGAAACATTAGTTATTCTTCATATAGCCTGTTTGTCACTAGTACTTCTATGGAGTACTGACCCCTCCGGGGGCCCTCACATTTTTCAGGTTGAGGCTAGAGTCCTACTACCTGCACCTTTGCCTAGGGTGATTGACCAAGAAGGAAGACGTGGTTCGTGCTTCCATTCTTATTTCAAATATATAAACTGCTCATGGATTTTTGAACAATATTTTCATTAAAACAGTTGGGGGCCTGCGTGCCCGTGTTTGCCACGTGTGGCTAAGTATCAAACATTTTATTTTTTCCGCATTTGTTTGATTATGATATTGATGTTGATTGTATGTGTTTACTAATCGGTTTGGCAATAGAATCAATCGGACGCCTTGTACAATCCAATAGGGATGAACTGTTGTTGTTCTTATCGGGTTGTACGGCGGTTGTCTACGTGGCTCGGATGCGGTCCGGGGCATGACAATTAAGTGGTATCAGAGCCATCGATTTCTAAACTATATAATTAACCTCTCAATACGGTTATCTTCAAAAAGTTTTGAACAAAACCATGAGCAGAAGTTTTTGTACTTAAGGAACCGTTGGAAACCAAGTTATTGACCTCTTATTGTTAAGACGGTACCCTTAACAGTTTGTTGGCCATAATGTTGGACCAAGGGGTGTCTTTTGTACTAATCCGTCAATTGACATTGAAACGAGTCTAATGACTCATTCCTTATTTATTTCAGAAATGGAGGGTGGACGCAGGATAACTAGAAGGAACCCGACAGGGCATGTGCCGGGGGCCACCGGGCATGCCACTCGGGCGGAATCACAGACCTCTAGGGGTAGAGGCCGGGGCCAAAGCCGAGGAGGAGGACGAGGCAGGGGTCGTGGGCGTTCTACCACGCCGACGACAAGTAGCACACGCGTCGGTTCCGTGCACCCGTCATGGGCCACCGAACCGGACGACTTCACCTATGCTCCAAGCACGGAGCAAGAGGAGACCTCGTACAACGGGGAGGACTTTGAGGAAGAAGATGAGGATGATGATCCTCATTATGACCGTATGAGTGAGGTACTGGAATGGTACCTTGAGAATAAAGCAAATAGAGAGCAGCGACGCCAAGCTAGACAGGCTAGGCAAACCATGGGGTAGGGAAGCCGAGGTGCTTCTAATGCTCCATCGGGGGCATTTGGGGGAGACACGATGGTGCGTATCTCCAAGTATCTCAAGGAGGCCAGGGCCTTGGGGTGCAAATCATTTGATGGCAAGGGCGACATATCTGAGGCCGCCGACTGGATTAAGAAGCTGAATGATGCTTCTAGGGATATGCAAATTGGACTCGACGTGAAGTTGAGGGTTACCACCAGGCTACTATAAGGGGTAGCTGCGGTATGGTGGGAAGGCGCGGAAGGAAAGTTCCACGGTGAGGCCACTTGGGAGAAATTCGAAGTGGAGTTTTATAATCAGCACTACTCAACTTTTGAAGTCAATCTCAAAAGGAGAGAGAGAGTACACAAACCTGAAACAGGAGGATGGTTGCTCGGTGAGGCAATTGGAACAAAGGTTCCGTGACTTGGCCCGATTCATCCCAGAATACTCTATGGATGAAAATCGTATGGCCAATCATTTTTGGGATGCTCTACAGTTGGACATCCGCGACCGGGCTACTTACCATCACAACATGACATTTAGCCAGATTGTCGATCAGGGGCTCCTTGGGGAAGCCCAATGGAACGAGAGGAAGTTGAGGGACGCCGAGGAGGCAAAGAAGAGAAGATGGGGAAACTCGGGACCCCAAGACCACTCCCAGAAGCATCACGCTGGGGGTGGCAATTCATTCAGGGCGCCGGCACCACCGGCGAAAAGGAATAAAGGCTCAGGAGGGCAAGGGGCCAAACCAGGGAGTACGTGGCCACCAAGGTGCGCGAACTGCGGTAAGAACCACGGGGGAAGGTGCAATGAACCACCCCGGTGCTTCAAATGCGGTAGCACAAGTCACCTCAAACCCTCTTGTCCAATGCTGAACGGAGGAGGACCATCGGGAGCCATGGGAGGACCTACGACTATGTAGGTACGTACGTACGTACGTCTGTGTGTGTGTGTGTATGTATGTATGTATGTATGTGTATGTATGTATGTATGTATGTATGTATGTATGTATGTATGTATGTATGTATGTATGTATGCATGTATGTATGTATGCATGTATGTATGTATGCATGTATGTATGTATGTATGTATGTATGTATGTATGTATGTATGTATGTATGTGTGTATGTATGTATGTATGTATGTATGTATGTAATGTATGTATGTATGTATGTATGTATGTATGTATGTATGTATGTATGTATGTATGTATGTGTCTGTGTGTGTGTGTATGTATGTATGTATGTATGTATGTATGTATGTATGTATGTGTGTGTGTGTTAATGTATAACAATTACTTAATTACTATGTAGTTAACTCGCTACTCGGTAGTAACTCGGTCAAGGACCGAGTAGCGAGTAAGGCCGATTACTTGGGATTACTCGGTGATTATTCGGCCTTGTATTAATTAGATTTAATAACATATGGCGAAGAAGGATGGGAGGGTGAAAGAAGAAGAAACGAGAGGGGAGAGAGGAAGATACGAGAAAGAAGATGACAACGTAATGAGAAATCGTAGTCACAGCTGTAGGGGGATACTAGATGTTAGAAACTCTGTTTAACCTAGGTTTTGTAACTTAATTTTTCAATTTTATAAGGGGAACCGAGTTAGACCGAGTACTCACCGAGTTGAAAACTTCTCAGAGTTGAGAAACTCACCGAGTACTCGGCGAGTAACTCGAAAATAAAACACGGACCGAGTTAGGCAGCTACTCGACAAGGCCAATACCCGAGTTGCGAGTACTCGCCGAGTACTCAACGAGTAGATAACCCAGCTTAATTATACAAAAGTTGGAAGTAAATAACAAAAATCTAGGAAGTAGGAACTAGTTAACTACAACAATGTAGGAACTAGTTAACTACAAATGTATTTAATTAAATATATATGTTAAATATGAAAGTGTAGGAGTATATGGGTATGATTGTAATATAATGTAGTTAATAAGAAAGGTTGAAAGGGTAGGAGTAGGAATGTAGAAATAGAAATTATAAATATTTATATAGTATTATTGTGTAATAATTAATAAGTATATAAATAAAATTATAATATGAATATATGAATTATAAAAGATGAAAGTGTAAATGTGAATAGAGTAGAATTAGTGATTGAGAGTTTGAGAATTGAGAGTATAGAATTTGAGTAGAAGTAGAATAGTGTGAAACAATATATAAAATGAGTAGGTATATATCGAGGAAAAATTGGTAACCCCCACCCCATCCCGCACTCCCCATCCTGCACCCCCAAACCCCCCAAACCCCTCCCCAACGGCCTTATAGCCGTTACTAGCCGTTCCAAACGGCTAGTGTTACCCCAGCCCCAGGCCAGCTCAGCCCCCCTTTAATAATTTTTTTAAAAAAATTAGCCGTTGGGATCGGAACTAGGACTGCCCGGTCCGGTCCCCATTTTGCTTACCCGAGACCGAGTTCAGAAATACCCGGTCGAGTACCCAGTCCAAGACCGGGACCGGAAAACCAGACTTGGTCCGGTCCCGCACAGTAGCGGGTCTGATTCCGGTCCGGGACCGCCCACAGGCTCCACCCCTAATGAGAACTCCTTGTGATGAGAAAGTTACAATATCACCCTTTCAATTTTTCAATCAATGGTTAAGAACATACATGGTGTTTTTCTGTAATTACTTTGAATTCAAAAAGGTCTGTTATGTAATTACCTTACGTTGTTAAAGGTTTCTCATTTTAAAAGCCTCGGTATACACACACACACACAAGTAAGGTCTCGCATAAACTAGGGCCAGTTGGCATGTGCCAAAATAATTGACTACTTAACTTCAAGAAGACGTAGAATGAAGATGTACAGAAGTGTACATAAGTAAATAACTACATTTTCAATATTCCTTCTTTGCTTCTCCTTTCTTCTTGGCCGCCCGAAATCCCTTAAATTTCTTGGACCGTCCATCCAGTGTCTCAGTGAACAGATCCTTATACTTCTCCATCACGCATTCTTTATCTCTGGACAAGCCCAACGTTTCATATGCATCAGCAACTTTCTGTACTATAGACTTCTCCGGCGGTTTACGCCCAAATGCTTCCAAGCCCTTGAACAGCTTTACAAGATCCTCCAGCATATCATTTCGATAATATACTGACATCATGAGACTGCACAATGACCATGGCACCGAATGTAGGTCCGACCCAATGTTTTTCCTCCAAATCTCACGTGCTTCCTTCGCCCTATGATCCATATCTAATGCTAGAATTAACTGCGCATAAGTACCTCTAGTGTTGCCCTGTCCCTTGCTTAAAATCCACTTTATAACTTGGATAACTCTATGCCACTGTTGCTCTTTCTCGAGTTTCAGTAACACCTGTGCTTTATGGATCCAATTGGGAAGTTCGGCTCCCATGCAACCCAGGCATCCAGGGCAGTGTAGATACCTTCTTTACTATCTTTTAGGTCTAGAAGCGTCTCTACCAGAATGCTGATCTTATCCTTTCTTGAAACATGTTCTCCTATTTGTCGTTTGTGTTCACCTTCACCATCATTTCCTGAAAACTTGGGTGATCCTAGACCTGCAGATACAATCTTCTTCAGACGGCCTTGGCTGGACACTAGAGGAGATCGAACAGCTGTACTGTAAGAGCATGTCAATGTACTCTTTCTAATTGATGTGTATTGGCTGATATGTTTTAACAGCTTTATCATTAAAGCCAGATGTTGCATTTGGTCTGACTGGAACCCTGGGAGGTAACAAGCTGATCAGAGCACAATTGATTAAAAGATTGATACTGTTTTTGAATATCATAGAAATGAGACCCTAGCAACTGAACAGTACTATTCAACAGCTACAAGTGAATTTTCTTACTAAAATCCATTGGCCCAAACCCCAGGAAAATACTACCTACTGCTTAATATATATTGAATTTCAGAAGATGAAGTATCACGAAATTTAATTTCAATTGACAAAAGAAATAATATGATACAATTCATTCACGCTTTTTGAAAAACATCTCGCAAGCAATTCACAACTTACCTGTCCAATGATTTCCATCTTCAAACTTTTTCAGACCCATTGTTCAATCAAAACTATTTGAAAATTAATAATGTACAACTTGAGTTCAGGTTCACCCTTAGACTCTAATTGTGAAAAATAAGTAATGATTATGTATAAAGAATAGCTCTTGGACTTTTTGATTTTAAGAGTGTCTCTGCACATTTACCTTTATTTGTGCCCCTTTTGATAAAAGAACTTCCATTTTTTAAAGAATTTCAGTTTCTGTATATCTTACTAGCTAAATGACAAGTTACCTTTTCTTAAAAGATTTGAGATTAAAAAGACAAATCTACTTTCCTTAAGCTCTTAATTCGTAACTATGAGTTGGTATGTCTATACACATTAGACAACATGAGTATTTCTTACTTCATGAATGTAGTGCAATAATTTCAAGAGATATCATGTATTTTTTCTTCTTCTCTAGCCTCCTAAAAGTTTTTTTTTGTAAATTATATGGATGATGTCCTGTAATCCTGTTTCTGAAATCAATCTAATGGATGATGCTGGGTATTTGAATTTTAGATTGGATATATAATGTAGTAGTTTTGGTTTTCTTACCTTCTTTTAAACTAGACTTGATGAGGAACATACTCAAAAAATTTCATCAAAAAATTCCGCCGGGAACCGCCCTAAACGGCGGTGTTCGGACCGGGAGGTGCTGGACCTGAGAATTTCTCTCTCTCTCTCTCTCTCTCTCTCTCTAAAGCAGTCAAATAATTCATTGAAGTTAACTGCACCAAATTATACATAGAAAAACACAGTTAACTTCAGCGAATTATTTGACTGCCTTCCCGATCGAATTTTGAGCTGAAATTTGGTATGGATAAACTAGACTTGATGTGAAACATGCTCAAAAAATTTCATCAAAAAATTCCGCCAGGAACCTCCCCAAACGGCGGTGTTCGGACGGTGTTCGGACAGAAAAGTGTTGGACAGGAGAATGACTCTCTCTCTCTCTATATATATATAGGTGATTAGGTGTTTTTTGGAAGTCTGTGGGGTCCTGGGACTCCTCGGACAAAAGGTGGGTCCGCGGTCCGCCACTGCCTAAGAACATGATGTAACTAATCTCTTTGTCTAAACTAATTGTATAAGAAGTGATAAGCTATGGGGTTTACCTAATAAGGTTAATTTAAAACTATGTTACTTGTACAGTCAATGTGTTTGTGACTAATCTTTCTATATGATATGACATGACATGACATGACATGACATGACATGACATGCATAACATAACATAACATAACATAACATAACATAACATAACATAACATAACATAACATAACATAACATAACATAACATAATATAATAAGGCATTGATAAAACAAAGTATACACCTCGTTTTTTAAGGTTGAAAACTGTATTAATTTTAAAAAGGGAGAACCGCCTTCACTTTGAACCTGCAGTTATTACTTTTGACATTGGGTTGAAGTAATATTACTATTTTCTTCTTAACATAACGATTGAAAATCTTATAAATCTTATAAAATTAGAAAAAAGCAGAGGAAATACAACTGCTGGTAATTTTTTAAAGCATGAATAAAGTGATAAGCACTTGAACAAATTACAATAGAACAAACAACAAAAACAACAACATTACCCCAGTGACGCAAAGGCTAACACCTACGATGAGAGGGGTAAGGGGGATCGGAATGACCCATAATGAAAATGGCATCGAAAATTGCATGAACTCAATGCTGCTTCATAACAAAGAAACGGAGACTGTTTAGTGAGCCATTTTTCTTTATTCCATCATATTTCCAAGCCAAAAAAAGTTAGTCTTTGACCCCATTGGAAATTATGGAAGGAAAAATTACAAGAGAACCTCTACGTTATTTGATACTGATGATAGCTATACAGATGTTGGCGATATTGTATATTTGTGTAAGAGAAACAAAGGCTTTCTGTTTTTTATGATGCTATCTATTGTACAATTCTATGTGATATAGAGAAAATATGTAAAATGTCTCATGTTATGTATGATCCATTGCACCCTACTTCTTCCCGTTGAAATAGCAAATACATGGCCACATTGGGAACAAAAGCAACATATAAAGAGTATAGTTTCATGAACCATGTGAGAGACTTTTTATCGAACACTGAGTAGGCATTAACCAAGTATTATTCCTAAAGAAACGACCCCCAATAACTTCCGTTTTAGAAGCGAATTTCAGTTACAGTAAAACACTAGTACCGGAATTAGGGTTATTAGATGAATATATTAGATGAGCAAAGTTTGTTTTCGACTAACATGTACGATGGCATCAACGATCAGCGAAGTTGTAAACACTGTACTACAAGAAGACAAAATTTTAGAAGATGAAGTGAAACGAATACCTTTTTGTGGCCGGACAGAGCCTGCAACAGTTCAAGACAACTACGCCGACATCGCGCTGCCCAGAAAATAAATCAACTTGACCGGCAGTTTGGTAACACCATCTTTGAATAGGCATGTGCCATTTCAAGGTTATTAAAACGACACCGTTAGTTTTGAGACCGTTCTATACTTCTATCACCTGCAAAGTTATGGTCAAGGAAAACAAACTGGAGTCACTGATTCCTCTTTCTTGTGCAGTTTTCAATGGCTCAACTCTACTGAATTACAACTACCCATCAAATAAACTACAAATTAACACAAAACACATTACTTTACTTTTCAACTTTTTTATGGAATATTTATAATGCTTAATATACCATCAATTCTTGTTCCATCTTTTCTTTGATACTTAGCTTACAATTCATTGTCAAGAGGGTGCAGAGCTGCTATTATTTCTTTTTAGAGTTTTTTCTAACTTCACAATCAGGCAGGGGCGGAGTCACGACACTGGGCCAGACTGAACCGGTACAAAGAATGTTTTTGGAAAAAAATTTACACGAAATTTTTTAAACTAAAAATATTAACATTTTTAAAATTTGGGGTGGGCCATGGCCTAGCCTGGGCACCCCGTAGCTTCGCCCCTGGGTGCAATGGAAACCAAGTTCAAATTTAGTGCTTGTGACCTTTAAAATTTCATATTTTGAGGGAGGAACCAAGAAGTTTGGGAATAATCTTCAAATATAATAATCCTAAATTTAAAATTTGATACTAGAATTTTTCATCAAATAATCTCAACATCTCAATCACGATTTCAAAAAATATCATCCACATCATCAAAATGGTCCCTAAATAAAGCTTTGGATGGGGTGCCCTTAAAGACCACATTGTACACATATTCTCACCTTGTTTAATATCAATTACATGGTTATTATGTTGTTTCAATTTCATCTAAGAGTTCAGAAAGAGTAAAAGCGAATTTGATGAATATGTGTTCAAATATTTCTACTATATTTTATGAAAATACTCCCTCCGGTTCTTAATTAACTTGACACTTTGACTTCACACACATTAAGAAAATTTAGTGTACAATACACTGTTGTGACACGGTTTGACACTGACACTGTTTTGGTGTAGATTGGTTTGCCAAATAAGGGAGTCTAAACTTGGTTGGGACATCCAAAAAAGGAAAGTGTAACTTGAATAAGAACCGGAGGGAGTATCGAATATTAATTTAAATTTGTAATAAAAATAAGGTTAAAAGGTCAAAAATATATGTTTACATATTCTCATCCCCTCTAGACCGTTTCTTGCATAAACTGGACCAACAAAGTATCATAGAGTTCATCTCTACCCTTAAGCTCATCGTACTCTTTACCACTTCAACAAACTTAAAATAGCTGAAAAATCTCCTCAGTTACCGATCATACATAAAAAAGTTCACCTAATAGAGCAAAACTTTTAGCTGAAAACACCTCAATAAAACCACAAACACAAGCAAACTGAAAACAAAGAAAGGTTCTAAAGAAACATAAATAAAGCTAAAAAGAAAAATAGAGCAGTAAACTGTTTGTGACCAAATACAAATTGAAAAATCATCATCCGATCCAAACACCCATGACATAGTCCTTCCATGACGACGGTTGAGGAGGGGCACAGACTGATAATGCTACATCTTCTTCCTCACCGTGCTCCTTGCACATCACGTTCTCTGCTATGCCTTCAAATCCAGCACCAAAGTCCAAAGGCACACTGGTCTAGAGCCAGTCCACCGTAAATCTCCTATAAACTTGTCTCCATCCTCACAAATCATAGTACCTCAAAGCTTTCTGGCAGGAAGTAGCAACAGCCAACAAGCAAGAAACAACAACTACTAGAAAAGACTCCTTGCTTAGACCCGCCAAATGCTAGAGTGACAGAAAAGTACTCCCTATGCAAGGGGACATACCACGATTCTCAGCCGCACTATGGCAGCACAAACTATTCTCACAATGGCGAAACCCTACCGTTGCTCTATACTGGCGAAGAGTCCTCCGTCCCGATCTACTTAGCCATCTTATTTTTCCCGTAAAAGGTGGTAAACTTTGATACATTGTTTAAACTAATATATTTATGATTAATTTAATAATTTTATACTTTTATGATACTATTTTTAACAAAGAACATTTTTATATCATTTTCATATCATTAATACTTTCTCTATATAAACATATAATCGGTCAAAGTTAGTCGTCAATGACTTGAAAAGTCAAGTTTGGCTAAGTAAAATTGGACGGAGGGAGTATCATTTTTGCCTGTGAAAAGTCTGAAAGTTACCGTAGGTCAATTATTTACTACTTTGCAATTGATTTAATCTTTTCATTTTAATCCAATTTTTAAAAAAATATATTATATTTTTCGTATGATACCAATATTTCATAAGAAATTCTAAAACAATCGATTCAAAATTGATATTCAGAAAAGAAGATTTTTTATTTTTTATATTTTATATACACTATTGAACCCATCGGAAAGTTTACAAAAAAAATATTAAATCTGATATATTATTTATTTTATAAAAAATAAATCATTAATAAAAAAAAGGTATAACAATTTAAAGAATGGGGGGAGAGAGTGATGTTCATCCTTTTTGGAGGAGGGAACAAAAACACAATCTACAATCTTAGCTTAGTTGTCCAACCAATAATACTACATCCATTCTTAAATAAATGTAATATGTTACGTTCAATTTTACACTACTCACATGTTTTATTGTAATTATGTTTAATTTATTAATGTATTACAATTGTTTTTAAATCTTTTAAAATTTATCTCATAGTAAATTTTCAAGATACGATTCTTTAAATTTTTGCAATAAAAATTAAATATATTAATAATCAAACAAAAATGGAATTACATCAATAGCTTAGTACACTGTAATATTACCTCAATCTTCAAATATTATGATTGAAATTTGTGAAGATGAAAAAAGCACTACTACAAAAGAGACATTTCACGTCGGTTATTTTGCACATTTCACGTCGGTTTTATAACCGACGTCTAAGTGAGAGACGTTAAAAGTGGACACATTTAACGTCGGTTTTAAAACCGACGCTATATATTACTTTTTACGACGGTTTTCTTAAATAACCGTCGTGAATTAAGTTTCTAGAAAACTCTACCACGACGGTTTTTTGTTGATAACCGACGTGGAATATGTTTTTTAGGAGACAATACTACGACAGTTTTTCTAAATAACCGTCGTTAAAAGTCTTTACCAGAACAAAGAAAATGCGTTGGTTTTCTAATGAAAACCATAAAACCGGATTTTACCTTGTAAAAGAAAATATAACTCTAAATGTTACCTTCTTTTAAAGTAACTGTGGAGTAGATAAGTACATATCAATCACTAATACTAAAACTTCATTACAAATTGTTCATTAAATACATATCATCATTGAGTGAAATACAAAGCTACTAGAGCTTCATTGAATGGCCTAAATTCTTGAAACTAAGACAGTAAGAATAATCTTGATATACAAACTTCTTTCCTTCTGAAGAATGAGAATGACAAACTCGTTGCAAAGAGAGGAACTTTATTTACCTGAAAGTATTAACAAGACGTTAACTTTTTTCAACATAATACCAAAAAATATAAATATTCTTGACAAAAAATACTATAACAATTAAATTAAACAAATAAAGTTTAAAGTTTAAAGTTTAATTGAACATTTAAACTTGTTATAAACTATTTATACTCAAAGAACTATTAATACTAGCTCTGCTTATCAGAACTATTAATTTTCTAGTAACACTTGTTTTACTGAACATCAAGTCCAGGAACAATTTAATACTAGTTCTTCTTACACTCTGTCGAAACAAGAGCTGTGATATCTTTTTCCTTTAATCCATTTTGACGGAGAATAGTTCAAGCACTAGTTTGGCCTTTTATTGTATTTATTTATCATTTCTTCTTTGGATGCTTGACTGCCTATTGCTGATTTTGAAATATAACCAAAAGTTTGAAATTTTTAGTATCCTTTTAATGAGAAGCACATTTTGAAGTATAATTGAGAGTTGATACTATCACATGTGGGAGTCTAATTATGTGATACTATACTAATTTCATATCATAATTATTATAACAGCCTTGAATGAAGCATTGACTGCTGAAGTATAAAGTTTGAAGACTTCAATGGCTTTAATTATGTGGGAGAGCATACCAATTCCAACAGCTTTCATTGAACACCCAGATGTTTCAGTCCCACTCTGCTGCTCGGATAAACATGCATCAATTGCACCAACAGCAACACCAATCTTCTCAGGAGCAAGCTCAGTAGCACAACAACAACAACAATGCATCAGCAAAGCATGACTCAAAAAGATTAATTAAGAGTCAAGATCAGTATGTTGTTATGTATGATATGCGTAACTGAATATAGTTCGCCTGACTCACAAAAGTTAGAAAGATTTTGATTCACAAAATTTAAATTACACTAAACGCATTAACATAGAAGAGTATATAAGCATATGCAACCACAAGAGATTATTATAAAGCACTACCTAATTTTGGAGATGTTGAAACATGTATATGTACATCCAGCTAACAAGTTAACACATTAAAAAAGTTAAAGTAAAAGAAGCTAAGCATAACATAGAGCCATAATGAGTCATGTCGTAGATAACTCAAATCCAATTTCTCGCTGATATGAAGGCAATCCTCGGTTTAACGTTCTCTGAATGGAGGCCCAGCTGAAATTCAGAGAATGTGTTTACATAAAAACATATTTCCGAATATCAAGGGTATCATTTTTTAGAAGGTCAATAAAAGTATTATTTTACCTCATTCTGGCGGGTGTAAATCACCAAAGTAGCACATCGAGATGCACCACAGTAGGTATTAGCTTAAAAAGGAATGGAGTAGTCACCTGAAGAGTTGGGCATTGATTAAAACTAGGCTACCAGAATAGTTTAAAAGGAATGAATCAAACTAAGAGAATGCTTCATACCAGACACTATAAGCATCCCGACACTAGCAACAAAGCAGCAAAGAAGTTTCTTATGGGTTCAACCTGTGTAAATATCAGCTGTTAAATAAACATTCAGTTCGAAAGAAAACACATGGGAGTGGGGGTGATACTTTTAAATCTTTAAGCATTAATACAAAATATTTAATCAATGAACTTGAGCCTTATATCTAATCTAGACATAAATCACATATATTACAAACACATGATTTAACCCTGATCTATACAATAGAAGATAGAGACTATTATTATAGAGACTTATACATAACATATATGGATTAAGATGATAATGGACCCCTTTCAACTATTTATTCAATCCAACGTCCCCTTTAGCCGACCACCCACAAACCTAATAAAATAGAAAATCAAATTTACCTAAAGCATTTACAGGAAAGGAACCAAGCTAGAGCATACTAAATACATTCTGGATTTATCTCTTGCGATCAAGCATCAAACTATCAAGTACAAAATGATCCAAAAGTGTACTTAAGCAACAAGGAGGCAAAAGGCAACAACAGCAAGCTGGTAAAGGTCATTTGTTTATTCAGATAAAAGAGGAAATAGTCCAGTAAATCTGAGCATGAGCAGCATATATATAACTTAATAGGAGTACATGACCAGCAAAAATATCCACTAAAACATAATAGAAAGATAAATTAGTTTGACTAACAAGGTCTGTATTCATATAATGTCAAAAGTAAAACTCCCCTGTGATGATCAGCACCTAATAAGTGTCTAAATGACATTTTTTAATTTTACAGAAATTAGAGGCATAGAGTACAATACAAGAATAAGAATATATTCTGTATCTTAGGTACTTTTAAGGGAAGAGCGCCTATGCGCTGCTAAGCGTTTTTCAGACACATGATGGTGCTTAGCGA